GATTAATGATAAGAGATTTGTATATGGATCCATGATTCTCAATGTTTGAATCTTACGTGATGATTTTAATTGTTTTATTTAAATATTTTTAAAAGTATTAAAAAAATAAAATACTCTTTGAAAAGACGAAATAAAACACTTAATTGAAAAGCCAAAAAAATATATATAACGGTTGGGACTGAAGTAAAAGGTGTCAAAGCTAAAAATATTAAATTAAATTAACAATTTTCAAGAGGGGTTTAAAGACAAAACTGTCACTTCATCCAAGTGGAGGCTAAATGTTTTTTATTATTTTAATTAAATTAATATTTAGTTAATTCCATCAATATTTTTTGAATAGGATATATGGTTAATTCTTTATCTTTTTCTTTTTGAAAAATAATGAACCTTAAATCGAGAAATTTAGGTGTATTATCTCTGCTTACGTAACCCTGTGAGTAGTATTTTTATATTACGAAAAGGAAATATAAAGTAATATGTATTAAAAATAAAATAGGAAAAATGATCTAGGTAGCATTAGGTTTTTAAGGACAACAATGGCGTTATTTTATTGAAAGATCATGATATTAAGAGGGTTTTAGGTTGTTACTTCTTTGACTTATTTAATGACGGTGTCTATCCCTGTAGAGATAGTACCGTCAATAGGTCAGTCGACCATCATTCAACGGCCAATGACTGCCCTACAGTAGGATTGGGTTTGAGGAAGTCAAAATGGCTCTTAAAAGATGGGGAGGGACAAAGCTATAGGCCAGATCAAATTCCTATCATTGTGTGGTTAGCCCTAGGAGAAGAGGGAGTTAATTGGTAAACCAACATCTTTATATTTATTTTAAAGACTGCCAAGATGCCAGAGGAGTGGAGAGAGTATACGGTGATACCAATCTATAAGAATAAAGGAGATCCCCAACGTTGTGGCAACTACAAAGGTATTAAACTACTCAGCCATACCATGAAACTATGGGAAAGGGTGATAGAGCTAGGTTGAGACAGGTTACTAGGGTTTTTAGAAAACCAATTTAGCTTTATGCCAGGCATGTCTACTATGGAGGCAATTTATACTTCGACGGCTTATGGGAAATATAGGGAAAGAATAGAGATCTCCACATGGCGTTCATTGACCTTGAGAAGCGTATGATAGCGTTCCCCGCGATACGATCTGGAAGACCTTGGAAACGAGACGGATCCCAACTGCTTATATCCGGCGATTCGTGATATGTACTGTAGATCTACTACTTATATCAGGACTAGTTGGCGACACCGAGGCATTCCCGGTGGAAATCGGACTCCACCAGGGGTCGGTTCTTAACCCTTACATCTTCGCCTTGATTATGGATGACATCTATTGTGCGACCCAGACTGTATTCCATGGTGTATGCTTTTCGCTGACGACATTGTCCTAGTTGTCGAAACAAAAACTGAGCTGAATAGAAGACTGGCTTCCTGGAAGACTACTTTGGAAGCAAAGGTCTACGAATCAATATTGAAAGACAGAATATTTATGTTCAAACTTCAATGGGAACCAAACGATGAAGATGTAGAAGTCTGCATAGAGGGACACGTTATCCCCTCAAAGAAATGTTTCAAGTACCTAGGGTTATGATACATAAAGATAGGGGTGTAAATGATGACGTTACACATCGTATAAAGGCGGGATGGATAAAGTGGAGGGCTGCAACTGGAGTTTTGTGTGACAAGAGGGTGCCTCTAAAACTTAAGAGAAAATTTTATAGAATGCAATAAGACCAGCGCTGCTGTATGGATCAGAATGTTGGGCAATCAAGAAGGATCACGTAAGGAGGATGGAGGCCGCAGAAATGAGAATGCTTCGATGGGCATGTGGTAGAACTATGTGGGACATGACACCAAACTATGCTATTAGGATGACCTTGGGGGTGGTGCCTGTATCTGAAAAATTGAGGGAGGGAAGACTACGGTGGTTTGGGCATGTCCAAAGGCGACAACCGTCGGATGCGTCAGGATAGTAAGTTGATTACAGTCGACGGTGCCAGAAGGAGAGGAAGACCAAGGCAGAAGTGGGAAGACTGCTTGAGATCTGATGAAGGATTTAGCCATTATCGAGGACATGACATCTGATAGGAAAGTATGGGAGACTTAAGACCAGGGTAGCCGAGTAGTGCGGTCACAGACATATGTATAACATCTCTGTCTTCTTTTTAACGCCTTTGTAATAAGTTCCATGACTTCTACTTTATATACGTTTCTGTCATTAGATTTTATGAAGGCCTAGAACTAGGGTAGCGGAGTAGTGTTGCCTTAGTTTAGGTAACCCATTTGACTTTATTCCTTCTCGTAGTTTGCTATCGTTAACTATTGTGTATCATTCTCTTCTAGTTTTCTTTTTTAAATTTAGTCGAGTCTTACGTTTTCTGTCTATATGCAGAGATTTTTACTCATGAATTTAATTACAGGGATTACTTCCCATTACAGACGCGCATATGAAGCCTGCATATGAAGACTGTTTAACTATGTATTTATTTATTTACTTATACATGCATTACATTTAATCTTTATCTTTGATTTTCTGACTGTCAGAAGTCTTCCACGGAAGCTGCCCTCAATCCCCCTTACCCCATTGCAAATGGGAATATGGTTTTGTTGTTGTTGTTGTATTAAAAAATAAAATGTATTTTTTTTATAATTATAGAGTGAATATGCAATAGTATATTATCAGATCCTTTGACAGTAAACGTTCATATCCTTATATATAAAATATTCGAATTCAAAATCTCTCGTAATAACGACAAATCTTTTATCCATCAAATTTTTTTTTTTTAGGAATTAAAAACTTTTATTAGATGTGACGGTTTATTCTTAATGTTATTGAACATTATAATAAATATGGGTCAACTACACTTGTGGTCAATGAAGTTTGGAAATATTTTATTTTATTATTGAATTTTCAAAATTTATATTTAATCACTAAAATTATCGATAATGACAAAATGGGACGTTAATTCCCATAAGAGTAATGATATGGGACGTTAATAACATCGATTAATATCTAATTTGACTTCTAAACTTAGTTGAAACACCAATTTCATCTCTACAATCTTTTTAACTCTATAAGCTTCTTCACTAACCATCATACACGTCCCTAGCCCTCACCACTCAACCACCGTACCACTATCGTCAGTTCTTCTGATTGTTTAGACTTGCCTTCTTTGCTAGCCCTTTGAAATTGCATCTGAAGATTAAGATAAAGGTTCTTGGCCTGTAAAATTAGTAACATATTCATAAATATTGAGATACAAGAACGAACAAAGATTTTATATTAAAAAATAAATTTATAATATTTTAATGATAAAAACATATTATCGATAAAGAATATAAAGAAAAAATATTTAAATTAAATTTTCAATGAGACAATTCCAATGATCTTCTCAAACTATCATGTTAGCTTATTAAATTGCATATTCAAATCGGGAAAAACTGTGTATCCCAAGTTATAGATACGACTTTTAGACCCTTTTTATCCGTAAAGTGTGTGTGCATTATCAATATTAAAAAAAATTATGAACAAATACTATCTTATAATCACTCCAAATCATTTAAAGAATTGGTATTCGAATAAAATATTAAAGAAAATCTCATTCAATCATAATTTGGCGAAGTTGCCATTTTGTTCAAGTCAGTTTAGGATAGACTATAATTAGTCACCCAACTATTCTTGTAATTATATTTTAATCACTCAACTATTTTTTTTAAAATCATACCTAAAAATATGTTTCCGTTTCGTTTTAATCACAGTAGTAAAAAATTAACGATGACGTTAACATGCCACCATAAAATATAGTCACGTCGTCATTTAAAATAAATAAATTATCACATCGATAGTTCTACTTATTTTCAATGAAAGGTGACTAAAACATAATAAAAACATAACTTTAAGTATGATTTAGGAAATAATAATTGAGTGACCAAAATAGAAACACAAAAATAATTGGGTGACTAAATGTGTATTTTACCCTTTTTACTATTATTTATTTATGAGAATTAAATTTTAAGGGTAAACTACACAAATGACCACTTAACTATGGTGTTGGTATCGATATGACCACCATATTTTCAGTTTTGTTAATATCACCACATAATTATTTAATTGGTTTCAATCAAGCCACCTGCCATTAACCTTTAACGAAAGTGTTGATGACAGTTAACAAAGTAATATAATTACATTTGATTCTTAATACTTGTACATTCAACTAATTTGATCGTAAATTTAATTTAATAAATTAACCTTTCAATCAAGATGTAACAACTGATTGAATGTACAAGTATTAAGGATCAAATATGTAATTATGCCAACCTTGTTAACTGCCACGTTAGCACTTCCATTAATGTCAACGGCAGGTGACGTAAATAGCTATGTGATCATATTGACAAACTTGAAATATGATGGGCATATCTACACTGATCCTACAAAACTGGTCATTGGAGTAGTTTATCCAAATTTTAAATGTATAGACTAACATCTACCCAAAAATCTTTAATAAAAGAAGAGGCTATGGTCCAAAGTGGTGATCGGATTAGCCAACCGTTACTCATACACCTCACACAATTATCAGCTCCGCAAGAAGCAAGCTGGAGGCTTGTACAATTTTCATTATTCTCACGATTCTTCCACGCCAAACGGTTGACTGCAGAAACATGGCACATGAAAGGATCGAGCTGGATGATCGGAGTAGAGGTCACCTGGTGTCGGAACGCTGTCATCGCCTCTTTCAACTTGAAGGCTCCAGACCTGGAGGAGTCCAGTTTCCATTCCGACTGCAAGAAGCCCACAATTTCTTTGTGGCTCGATTCCAACCCAAGAGATGGCATTGACACTGCTGCTGAACGGTTGTATTGCCTCACGTCAAGCACAACAACTGCATAGCAATCAGAGTTCTAAGACCTAAAGATTTCTTTTCTTTTCTTCCTTTTATCTCAGAGTCCTAACTCCTACCTACTAAGCAAAGCAAAGCAAAAAGATAGCAAAAATGGCTTCTATTAGGAGAAAAAGAATCATATTACACAGAACCCCAAGGGATTATGAAACAAACAATTGCAGCACATCATCAGTGGTCGACAAGGGTCACGTTCTATACAGTGTGGATCGGGAACCCTTTGTGCTTCCTTTGGAATATCTAAATAACAACGTTGTGATGGAGCTATTCAACTTGATAGAAGAAGAGTTTGGACTACCAGGCAACAGGATTGTCCTCATGCCTTGTGATGCGAACTTTATGGAATATGTAATTGCTTTGATAAAAATGAAACCAAATAAAGAAGTTGAGACAGCATTTATCATGTCAGTAAGCAGCGGTCGTTGCTCATCGCCGTACCTTTACCAGCAAGAAATGATCCAACAATTTCCAATATACTTCTGAAGCAATTTTTTTCCTTATCTTGAGATTGATCCACACCTATGTAGCTTAAAGTATATAATGCAAAACATCAAAAAAAGATGGTTCTCATGCATAGTCTTCTTGAACCTTGGCAGTACTAAGAAGCTTATCGAATTCTGATTGACTAGCTTAAACATTCATATCATCATAAATTAGTTCAAATAGTTTCAGTTAAATAACCAGAACCCAATCAATTTATATTCAGTAATTCAGAGCCAAAAAAAAGAAGAAACCGAACTTTTAAAAACAAGTCCTTTGCAGCGACACTTGGTCTGCTCGGAACATCATTCACATCTGTTCAATGTTATATGTTGTTCAAAATCGACAATATGAAAAGCTTACATACGCCACAAGCAGGGTAAAAGGAAATTTAGTTGTGGCTTTTACAAGACATCGCCAAGATGTACACATGAAAGTCGAAGTTGATCTATCAAAACATTTGAAACCTGTAAATTGAAGACTTTCTTTGATTTCTTCATTTTCTGCTATATGGTAAGCATTATTCACGTGTAATCTTAAAGCAGCAACAAGCTGAAAATCAGTTTGTGATTGGTTTCCATTCGGTTATGTTTGTTTCATGACTAGATATGTCAATGCCTGTACACTTTGATCTTTTCTTGGATGATCTGCAAACCTTAACCGTGCAAGAAAGAACCAGGGGACAAATGGAACAGTGTAATGCCAGAAGCAATCGAATGCGACGGAAGAAAAAGCCTTGTACATACCACGTAAGAAAATGGAATGCTTTTTTACCTCCAATCCGAACCCAAAGACGATTCTAACTCGAGACAACCCATTAGTACCTTTGTTTTGGCAACCTAGCCTTCCTCCACTACCCGTTCCCTTGTGCAGAAAACAAGTGTTTCTAGCCTTTTGAGGTTTCAATCCACGTGAGAGAAGACAAATGAGAGGCACAATATTTAGAGAAAACATAACCTACTAGCACAGATTGCAGTTTAACCACAATGACAACTTCCTTAAGGTTTCCATTGTCATCTAAGTGAATCACCATTAGAGGTCAACCATATAAACAGCTTCAGTTTATGATAATCAAGCTCGATGTAAACGAATAAAGTGAAGGGGATTGTTATTTAAGATTTTCAGCAGTCCAAGTACACAGGTATACCATCAAAGTTTGTTCATGTAAAATCGAGAACGAACCATATCTTGTTCATCACACATTTTTGGTATAATTATTCTCAATACATATCAGAAACCATTAAATGTGTTTTCATTTAGCAGCGAGCAATATCTGCGCCCAAGCATAGCGTCCTAATTCACTTTCAGGAGTCATTTTCAGCAGTTTCCCTTCTTAGTGCCTGAAGCCTTTCTTTCAGTTTCTTACTCTCTTCAAAATTGACCTTCCTCTTCAAGCTTTCTGCCCAACAGAAAAACATAAGTATGCCAGAGTGACGACAATGATACTATTTCCCCAGAGCTGAGAATAACTCACTTCTTGTCGGAAACAGCGATCAAGCTTTATCTTTAATTCTGTACATTCATCGAAGAATTTGGCTATGGGATGCTCCAAATGACACTTTTGGAACTCTTCGATAATCTGTCAAAACATAAACTCAAGATTATTTAACAAGAACAAACCTTTCCTTCCAATCCAACAACTAAAAACTTTAGATTCAACACCAAGATTGTACTTACTTCAACACACATGGATGCCTATGCAATGTCAAAGGAGGGTGCATTTTTCCAGCAGAAAATATGTTAACGATCTGTATTATGAAATATAGACCAACAACATATTTTTTTTTTTGGATAATTTGATTTTTATTACCCAAATAGTAAAAACCTGCTACAAAAATCAGTGTTCAGAATACAGGGATTGCCCTACATACAAAAATAAACAGCAATCAACCAATACCCCAATTTCTACATAAAGTAATATTTACACTATCAAATCTATTAAGGTTTCTACCCCTTAGTTGCAAACCAACTGTTTCCTTAATAGCTTGTAGCAGTTCTTCAAAAGTCCTAGATTTATCTTTGAAGATCCTTTTGTTTCTTTCCTCCCATAGGATGTAGATTAGAGCGGTGGAAGCAATCTTCAAGATATAAGTGATCAACGATTTACCTTTCCAAAACATAGAGGCCCAAGCTAAGAAATCATTCCATGACAAGAGGTGATTATGTAAACCATTCAGACCAGTAAGGGAGAAGACTGCTGCCCATAGAGAAGCAGCAGTTGGGCAATCAAAGAACAAATGGTTTCGGTTTTCCATAACATCACCACAGAAATTACACGTGCAGTCATTGATAAGTCTCATTTGATGCAATCTTTCCTTTGTAGGCAGCTTATCAAGGAAGGCCATCCAAGCAATTAAAATGTGCTTTGGGATGTGGAGAGGGAACCATAAGAGCTTTTGCCATGGAACTTTGGTATTCTTCACTCTAAGCTCATTCCAAATGTCACTAGTTTTCTTCGTTCCAGAGAGCAAAATAGGGAAGGCTTCGGTTCTCATTTTTAAAAGTTGCCTTAAACTCCAGCTCATGGATGGCTTGATTTCAGCAGTCCAAAAATCAGTAGCATTGAAAACATAGCTTCGAAGCCATGCCACCCACAAAGATCCATCGCCTGCCAGAATGCTTTTAATGAGCAACATCATGTTTGCTTTATTCCAGGTCTTTAAGTCTTTAAGACCGATACCACCTTCAGACTTAGATAAACATATTTTTTGCCAACTCACTCTTGCTCCAACTGCTGATTTGTCAGCCCATAATCTTGAACAAGCTGTTCAATCTTTTTAATGACCGAGGATGGAATGAGCAAACTGCCTGCACCAGTAGTTTGCAATGCTAAAAACCCTCTCGAACTAATTCCAATATGCCTACATAACTTAGCATTCTACCAGACCAGAAATGGAGCCTAGCCTTGATATTATCAATGAGGGAAGTGCAATCCTTTTCAGAAATCTTTCTAGTGACCAAGGGAATACCAAGGTATCGAACAGGGAGGCTACTAAGATTAAAACCAGTAAGCAACTTAATTTCCTCAAGATCAGCAATGGGAACACCAGCAACAAACAGTTCACATTTAGAAGCATTTAATCTCAGGCTAGACATTTCATAAAATAAGTCCAAGACAGAAGTAACACCAATAATAGAATTCACAAAGCCTTTGCAGAAAATTAAAAGGTCATCAGCAAAAGAGAGGTGAGTAAGCCCAATTCTTTTGCATTTAGGATGGTAACCAAAAGTACCTTTTGCAGCAACCAAGTTAAGGAGTCTTGAGAGAACATTCATTGAAAGGATAAAAAGGAAAGGGGATAGAGGGTTTCCTTGCCTAACACCTCTTGCACCTTTGAAGTAGCCAATCAAGCTCCCGTTGAAGGAAATAGAGAATTTGACAGTGGAAAAATAGATTTTAATCCAAGTAATGAAAGCATTGGGAAGACCTAGTGCCTTTAAAACAACAATGATAAAGTCCCAATTTAAGGAGTCAAAGGCTTTGTGAAGATCAATTTTCAAAGAACATCTAGGGAGATAGATTTTTACTGTAACCTCTAACTAATTCCTGATCCAAAAGAGTATTATCAACAATATTTTGCGCTTAACAAAAGTAGTTTGGTTAAGAGTGATAAGGTCAGGAATTAGTCTGGTAAGTCTGCTGACCAGAATTTTTGATATCGCCTTGTAAACCACCGAACAACGGGAAATAGGTCTGAAGTCTTTGACCTTACTTGGATTCGAAATTTTGGGAACCAATGTGATGGCAGTGGCGTTAAAGGCAGGGTGTAAAAAAGATTCATGGAAGAATTGTTTAATGGCAGCATTAATATCTTCAGCAATAATAGGCCAGAACTTTTAGAAGAAAAGGGGAGTGAACCCATCCGGTCCAGGTGCTTTATCATTCCCTTGACTGAAGAATGCTTCTTTAATTTCTTCACAAGAGACATCCTTAATAAGATCAACAGAGAAATTAGAGGGCAAGGAATAATGGAGTAGGTCTTGAAGAAGAAGAGGATCAGGAGCCTTTACACAAGGATCAGAGGTGCCAATCAGGTTAGAGAAGAATTTAATCACCTCAGAGGACATTTCATCAAAGGTCTCTAATCTGTTCTCTTGGTCATCCACTAGAACTCTAATGGTGTCTCTTTTCTTCTTAAAAGCGACAGTAAAGTGAAAAATCTTAGTGCACTTATCACCATCTTTAAGCCATTGCATTTTGGCTTTTTGTTTTAAAAACATAACTTCAGCATCTTCCATTATCTTTAATTCAGTTTGCAAAAGAAGCTCTTCCTAAATAACAGCCTCACCTCTAAGCGTCTTTAGTTGTTGATGCTCTAATTCAGTTCTCTTTTGTTTTACCCGATCAGAAAGATTACTATAACAGGTAAGGTTCAGATCCTTAAGGTGAACTTTCAGTCGTTTCAGTTTGGTAAAAAGGATTTGCATAGGATTACCAGCAACAGGCCATTTCCAGGATTAAGAGACAACATGTAAGAAGTTCGGGTGTTGGGTCCAAAAATTAAAAAATTTAAAGGGCTTTGGACGATTAGCATGTACCTCTTGTGAAGCCACAAATAGCAAGACAGTGATCAGAAGTGCAGGGAGCCAGGAACTCTACATCTGAAGAAGAAAAGGAATTCACCCAATTTTGGTTAATAAGAACTCTATCAAGCTTCTTTGCAAGGTATGAATGTTGTTGTTTGTTGCTCCAAGTAAAAAAAGGCCAAAATAAGGGTGATCGAAAAGGTCAAGGTCAGAAAGGGTATCCTTAAAATCTCTCATATCAAGAGAAATATAAGGACCAAGGATTTCATAGTCAGACCTCTCATTTGAATTAAGGATTACATTGAAGTCTCCTTCAAGAACCCAAGGAAGATGACCATAAGTTCTATCTAAATCTTGAAGTTGCTGCCAAAGAAGCTTCCTAACTCTGCCATCATTGTTGCCATAAACAGCAGTAATGATAATGGGTCTACCAAGGTGAGTACCTTTAACAGTGATGCTCTGCTCAGAAACATGACAAACAGAAAGCTCAATGTCTTTCCTCCATAAGATCCAAATCATACCATTTATGCCAAAATCATAGTTGGTGCAAACATTACAGTTTTCAAATTTTCTACCTAGTATATTTACAGACTTATCAGCTTTTACTCTAGTCTCCAACAGACAAAAAACATCAATCTTGTTCTGGTTTGCTCTTTTTATAACAATCTCTTGTTTGAGAGGGCAATTAAGCCCTCTAACATTCCAAAAACCTATGATCATTGGGAAGATATGTCAAGGGAACCTCCACTACCACCCACTTCAGCATTGTTAGCTTTTGTAAGCTTGTATTTTTTCTTTAGTTTGAGCTCATTAATAATACTGGAAACTCCTAAGGAAGCTGCTCTAATCTTTTTATTCTGGCCTTCATGAGCAGTGGGAATATCATAAACATTACTAAGAATTTCAAATCTCTTTTTGATCCTGAAATATCAGCTTTAGATTTATTCTTTTCACGTCTTCCCCTACCCCTTTTAGAAACAGTAGGTTTAGAGACAATTTTACCATCAGGAAGAGCATCTACAGTTTCAGAGTTAGTAGTTTCTTTCTCTTCGTTGGGTTCATTACTCATAGAGGCAGGATTATTAGTCATACCCAATGAATCAGTAGGTTTCATGTTAACTCCATCGGTATCATTAGAGACTTGCGATTATTTTTCCTGTAAAACCTCAATACCACCACCAACATTTTCAGCTACTGTAATCGGGGTAATATCATCCTTCCTTTTCCAGATTTGCTTTTTAACCGGAGCTGGATTTTTTAGTACAACACAATTTTTCTCAGAGTGACCAAAGACATTGCAGTGTTTGCATCAAGCAGGGAGCCAAGGTACTTCAACAACAACAGAAGTGGAGTTCCCATCTCTAAGAATGACCTCAACATATTTGGGAATGTCCTGGTTTACTTCTAGTTCAATGTATTTTTTAGCAAATTCTAGGTGTTTTTAGTAGCAGTTACAGTGTCCATGGAAATTGGGGTTCCTATGGCATTAGCAATATAACTCAAGCCTGCCCTAGAAAATAATTCAAGTGGGACATTATACAAATGAACCCAAACCGGAATCTTAGAGAGATCAAAATTTAATCTTGTCAAATTAGGCTCCCATTTTCTAAGAATTAACGGTTTATTTAGAATGTGCCATGGTCCATTCTCAAGGACCCAATCTCTTGCTGATTCAGAATGAAAAGAGAAAACATACAGGTTATTTCCCGCAAAACTAACCTGACCAGTGCTTCCTGTCAGAGCTTTCTTCCACAGAGTATCCACGATGCGTTGCATAGCCGCGAAGTTTGGAGCAGCACTGAGGAACTGCCCAACAAGCGAAAGCCTCCATTCAGAGATACTTGCTTCATAAACTTCTGGAGGGGATGGACGGTTGTGACCCCATCGCTAACCCTAGGCGGGAAAAAAATCAGATTTTGCCTCGCAGCACATCCAAAGAGTTTCCTCCAATCCATAGAACCCTCGATAGGAGTAGTCAGAAAGCAGCTAAAACAACCACTGAGGACACAACGAGATGAACGGAGAAGAAAACCGGAGACTCGACGGTGAATTTTAGATTTTCGTTAGCCCTGCTAACGTGCACCCAGAGAAATCCTAATCGTGCGCCTTAATGAAATTTTTTCTGAACGAGAAATTGAGGGGGAAATTACCAAAATAATCTCACCAAAAGTGTTCAAAATCAATTTTTGTATTTAACAAGAATATTCACATTAAATCATGAAACAATTAATATGTGAGTTCTCACAGTAAATTAAAAAGACAACACAAGAAAAAACCCAAAGGTATATTGATGGAGATGGCATACAGTTCTCAGTTCGTCGCGACTTGTAAACCTGAAAGTGAACTTTCTGACTACTGCAACAAAGAAGCAAGACGGTAACACCAACACTGCAAGGTGAAGAGGTAAATGAAACTGTTAAATATTTGAGTGCAATCCCTAAATCTTCCTGCTTCCAAGTTTTTATAATTGTTTAAATTCTATTATTAGTTCTTCTATAATGTGAAAATTAAACATTTAGTCTTTATAGACTAATTTGGTTAATTTTGATCTCTATTCTTTTATAACTTTAAACTTCAATCATTACTCAAATAGTATATTAACAATATTATTAAAAGCATAATGACTAAAAAATTATAAATTTGGAGAAAAATAATTAAGGGTATATTTGGACATGATAGGCTGCAAGAATATGTACTTGCTAGAGCAGTAATTACTGTGTGCAAAACCTAAATCCTCATTTTCTTAGTTTTTATAGTTTCTCAAATTCTATTATTAGTCCTTCTATAATGCAATTATTTCACATTTAGTCCTTATACACTAATTTGATTAATTTTTATCCCTATACTTTCTTAACTTTAAATTTCAATCATTACCCAAATGATATATTAACAATATGAATAAAAGTATAAGGACTAAAAAATTACTAAAATGGAGAAAAATAAATAAGGGTGTATTTGGACATGATAGGTTGTGAGGATGTGTACTTACTAGAACAGTAATTATCGTGTCTTGTAGGAATTCTAATTCCATAAACTTGTTCGTTTAGCAAACCGTAATTACGTACAATTCAATAGACCGATAAGGCCACAAATTATAAATGAATTTAAAAAGTTTGACTGTCATTATAATTAGTTATCACAGTTTCATTTATTCTCAATCAACCCCTATAAGAAATGATGAGTTAAATCGAGTTACTCAAATTACACTCAATTCAGCTGAACCCACTAGTTCCAATGATTACTGAGGCATGCCACACAAATATAATTTTACATGCAAATACATCTAAATCCAATTGTGGCTACGCGAACACATCCTAAATCAACAACTTACATGTAGCATAATAACTAATAATAGAATTTGACTTATGCAATGACTTCAAATATTTAAGTAAAACTAGAATGAAATGACTAAATATGCAACTTACGCGTAGTGCATGGGAAGCTTAATTTGAGTCGAAACAAATCAAAGAGGAAGCTTCTAGCATAAGTTGTCAATCTCTATATTGTTTATTATGATTTGAAGTGTTTATAATGCGCAATTTCTTAATCAAACTTAATCTCTATATTTTAGTTGTCTCAGTATAAATCTAAACAATTCGTCTTGTTTTTGATTAATTTGAGCCTAAACAAATCAAAAGGGAAGCTTTTTCTGCAATTATCTTTGGAAAAAATAAGCATGATTTTCTCTAATAATTAACAAAAGTAGCATAATTTTACTATAATTAACAAAAGTTAAAAAAACTATAGATTCATTTTCTTTGAAATTTCCCCACCATTAACAACAAATAATTCAAATAATAAAGAACTACAACCTCTGACTAATCAATGGCTCAAATCTAGATGTATGAAAAAAATGAAAAATAATAATTATTTAACTTCCAAAAATTCATTGTTCTCACTAGTGTATGCAGTATAATTACTGTGCTAAATTGCCACCAAATTCCATCAATAATGTTATTAAAAAAAATAAAAAAAATATCAACAATAAAAGATAAAGGGCGGAAAACCATAAAGAACAAAAATGGATAAAATGTTAGATCGGCGAAGAGCTTACAAAGAGAAGAATCTTGATCCGTCGATGTCGGGATACGAAACGGAGAATCGGAGAAACCCTAAAACTGAATTGCAAAGTGAAAACTAAGATCCAGAGAGAGAGAGAGAAAGAGAGAGAGAGAGAGAGAGGATGAGAAAAATAAAGGAAGAACAAAGTGAGCAGGACTTTGTTGGGTGACTGCCTCCAACTTCCAAACCTATATGAGCGGGATTTTGCCTCGGCGGCGTCTACGGCTATAACGGATTGCTTTTTCTTATCAACCACTTCTTATCAACCACAAATTACTTTTCTTCTTGTATAAAATTAAGTTTTTGAATTTTTATGATGGTTTTATTTTGAAAGAATTTATGTGTTAATTTATGGCAATATTTGTAAGTAGCTTGTAATGATAAAAAATTACAGATTACGGAGTATGTGAATGAACTTTAAAATAAATTAATTTTTTATATACAAATATTATTTAAATTTAGTTTGATTAGTGTTATTATCAATATAATTTTTCCATCCATATTAGAAGGATAAATCACTTTAAATCATTCTTTCATATGTAATTTTTTTCAATGATGACTTGTCATTATCTTATGGCGACACATCAATATCACGGTTAATTTTTTAATAGTGGTTGATTAAAATAAAACTAAAACTAAACGTTATGTATGATTGCTAAAAAATAATTAGATGACCAAAATGGAACAAAAGTGATAGTTAATGTACTAAAAATATAGTTTACCCATAGTTATAATAGACACATATCATGGTCATATAAAATGATGCATAAACTAAATCATTGTGTAATGCACATGCAATAGAATAGATCACAGTGTAATATATTGCATATGGTTATTTTATGATAAAATATTAAATTGATAAATTTATTTATTTTTAAGATTAATTGTTATAAATATAATAATGATAATATTGAAAAATATTGTATATTCATAATAAATGTCTTTTAAGTTTGATTTTATAAACTAAAGTTTGGTTTCTTCTCAGTTTTTTCTTCTTCTTCCAAATAGGTTAAATGATGTTTTGATCTCTAAAGTTATATATTTAATTATCATTTCAATATTTGATTTTTTTTTAGATTTGACCTGTAAATTTTTTAATAGTGATACATATTATCGTAACATAATTTTCTATTAAAAGAAATTACTATATGGTATTCTAAGAACATGATACGTAGAACATACCATTTTTTAAAATTTATAAAACTTCAAAAAAATTCATAAAACCCCCTCAAGTTTCTCAAATTATTTTTCATATTTTTTGAATTTTTATTAGAATTAATATATATTATGTGTCGTGTGATACATTTCTAGAGTCATTTGACTTTATTTGTAATAAAAAAATAAGTTGGAATAACGTACTTTATAATTAAAAAATTCATGAATCAAATTCAATTAAAAAAAATCTTCAAATATCTAAAAGATAAAAAAATACAACTTCAAGGACAAAAATATTAGTTAACCCTTTTTCATATTTAAACATTGAACTTTATAAGTCAACTTGAATAGGATTGAAATGAAACTTTAATTAGGTGACAAAGACTTCAGAACTTGGCTGCTTTTCCAGCTGTAATAGTAGATTAGAAACTGTTCAATCTTCTATGATAAACAGGGATGGATCGATAGAGTACAAATTAGGGTAATTATTCTTTTAAAAAATTAAAATTATTATATATTTTATATTAATAATTTTTTATTTTTAAAATTTTATAAATTTATCTCATCATAAAATTTTAAAGATTCCTCTGCCTAACATAAATTGTGCATCAGTCCCTTACCATAAAATTGTAAAATCAAAACAATATCAATCAATCCAAGCTTACACGTGTTTATATTGTATTTTATCATGCAAAGATAATAAAATATAAGTAAACTATATAAATAATCACCAAACTTTTAAGTATTTGTATTTTAGTCACTGAAATTTTAAAACCCGCACCACAACCATTGAACATTTAATTTACTTTTATTTCTGTCCATGTCATTAGATGTTATTAAAAGAACTGATGTGACACGTTAAAGTCAATTTTAATTTTCTTTTTATTTTATTTCTTTTTGTTATGTGTTTCTTTTCCTTTCATTTGTATACAATAACTCAACATTAACGTAAGTATGGGCTCATCTCTGACACCCATCAACTATCATTCTATTTATCAAAACTCTTTAAAGCTGAGATGGAACTCGCAATTAGGTTAAAAAAAAGAATGAAAGCATTCATTTGGGTGATTGGGCCTGCACTCGACTTCAATTTGAAAGCCAAGTTTAGGTCGTAATGGCTACTGCAAGGGTTTAGATACCGAATGAATACGAGTAACCGAGGGTTGCAGGTGAAAAAATGGGCATTGCAACTGGAGATATTGTCGCATTTACCGATCGGGGCATTTTAAGCCATTGTGGGTGGAATTCGATAATGTAAAGCTTGAGCTAATAGGTGAAGATTATAGGGTGGTTGAAAACAGCGAAGCATGCTTGTAGCAGCATGTGATGTTGCAGGAAATCTCAAGCCAGGTATTTTATCATGTGAAAATTATCACGATGGAACCATTAATACCAGTCACAGTTATGTCAAGCCTGATGTTGAGTTGGATAATGATGGACTATTATTAGTAGGCAAATATGGCTTAGTGGTACTGGAATGTGATATTGCAGGCAGTGCCAAACTTAGCATTTTTTAAGATGGATAAGTCCAACTCTTTTTTTTTCATGCTAGGTTATGCCAAGCTTGGCATTAAATTTATGACGACAGTTTGATTGTAGTTGAAGGCGAAGGTGTAGGTTGTATAAAGTTTGGTGTTTTTTTGATGCAGATGAAAGAGTAGACGCCATAAATGATATTATAAATTGCATCACCTTTGTAAGTTTCCGATGAACGGAGCAGTTATTGGTGGATGTTAGAGAATCAGAGATAAGCCCAAATTATTGTTGAGCCTAACCTTTGACAAGATTTTTTAACGAATTTAAACCAAAAGAAAGAAAAAGAAGAAAAGAAATTTGGTGATTCTTTCGACAAAACCTTCAAAGATGATAAGAAATGATGATTAATGGAGGCAATGGTCAATTTGGAAGAAGAGATTTAAGATTTTCTTTTGTAGAAGTAAAAAGAACGAACCAGATATTATAAAGTTAAAAATTCAGTGATTAAAATAAAAAATTTCTGAAACTACAATGACTATCTATATAATCCACCTTAAATGTACAATGATAAAACATATTAAATTAATCTATATAATTGTCTGTATCTAAAAAAATAATATTATTATAAAGAACAGACAGTAAAGAAATGATAATATTGATCTCGTGGCTTAAAAGAAAGTCAGAAAGAAGGATTGAAAGCTTTATGTGGGTCAACTTATGCAACTTTCCGAAAGCGACTCCCAATTATGAAAATTGCCTTGAAATTCAACGGTCTAAGATGCGTGGCAGATAATTTGGACAAGTCTTCTTAAAAGTATATTAAGAGACAATGACTAAATATTCAAACCTCAACTCTCCCATTACTTCTATGCCCACTTGCTCTCTTTCCTCCTTTATATGTTATATTGTCTTCTTCCACCCTACCATCTCTTTTCCCCAACATCAAGATCCACAAATGAATCAAATCCATCCCTTTAACCTTACATCAACGTTGTTTCCAGTGGTATACTTGGTTCTCTTCAGTTTCTTTTTCCAGCCAAGAAAAGGTTTAGCTGTGGACGAGAACTTCACAATCTGTAGCGTGCAAAGATATTGTGGCAGACAATTGATAAAGTTCCCATTTTTCACCCAGGAGCTGGATGAACCTAGATGTGGCTATCCGAGATTCAACATCTCCTGCAGAAACAACATGACCGCAGTTCTTAAGTTGCCTGATGGCGATTATATTATCCAAGATATCTTTTATCAGAACCAATCTTTTCTGGTTTCGAGAGCTGATGGAGATGCCGTGTGCGGCCACTCGATCCGGAATATAACGCTTCCGGATTATCGGCTTTATCTGCCTGAGAACCAGAGAGCTATGGTTTTGCTGTTTAATTGCAGTTTAAGCTCGGGGGTGATGGCGGAGTTTTCACGGTACAGGGTTGATTGTGGTTCTGGGAATGAGAGTAATACGACGTTGGGGCTGTTGAATGGCGATCCTAAGGTGAGTTTACTTTCCGGGAACTGTAGCAGAAGTGTGTTGGCGCCCGTGGCTTTTACAGACGGAGATGGAGATGTGGAAGATGCGGTTCGGAGAGGGTTTGTCTTGAATTGGATAGCGAGTAATTGTGGCGTTTGCGAGACGAGTGGTGGCAAATGCGGATTCGATTACGGGTCCTACCACTTCAAGTGCTTTTGCCCCGATAGGCCTCACGCCGCGCGCTGTCATCCTGGTATGTCTTCGTGATCTCGACGATTACAGTGAATTATTATTCTTTTCATTCATCATTTTCAAGTAAAATTAAATCACGTTAAATATTGTCCTTTACCGTCTCATTCGCCCCTTTTTGTGCCATGCTCGGTTCATTGAATCAATTCCCTGGCTGCTTAATCGGCTGCGCTGTTTCATAGCCCCATTCGAATTAATCATCATCCTCTAAGTGGACTCCCACACTTTCTTCTTTTAGAAAAAAGAAAGTACAAAAGTAATTCGAACATATCGATTCAGAATTTATCAAATCATTAGAATTTTTTTATAATAAAGTGAATTTGATTTGAAAACATCATTAACTTATGAATGAAAGTATAAACAATGTACTCGGGCATATCATTCTTAGATATTTTTGTTTGGCCAAACCTGTCCTAGACTGCCCTAGTTGCGTAGTTAAGGTGCTTAAATGCATCATTCTTTGACCATGTCCAAGTATTTTACCAATTGTTTATACTTTTTTCTTAATTGATGCTGACCGTTGATTAAAAATTAGAAAAAATGGGTCCAATAACTGCGAACATAAAGTTTTCTATATTAGGAAGCGATACGCTAAACAAGTGTCACAGTAATAAAAAATGCTGGTTTGCAAGTAGCCATAGAGTAACTTGATGATCATTAATAACTACACATGCAATCCCCATGCAATACAGAGTCTGGTGTCTACATATCCAATTCTGTTAATCTGTTTCCCTCTTAATCTCGACTTTACAATTTCCTTTAGTTGCTTCACAACCTCTATTGTTATAGCTTGTTGATGGAAAAAATAGGTAGTTGCGATAAATAATGAAGTAAATTAAGATAGAAGCATTCCGAAAGAGAGAGCATGTTCTTTTTTTTTAATTTTGCATGATGATTTATATACTTACCCTTAATGTTGGTGATAGGATTAGGGCCATCAGAGCTATTTATAGGTTGGTAGACTGAATAAATTTGACTCTAACAAAGTACGTGAACCTGTCAATAGTCTTGTCAAAGAATTGTATCAGACTATCTCCGCACATAGAAGAAAATATCCATTATAAACATAAAATTATAAGGAGTTCAAATACATAAAATTTCTTATTATTTCATAATAACCTAATAAATCTTAATAGCTCGTTTTTTCTCAACAAAAACAATTTATTAATCAAACCTAAGTCAAAAACCTCTTTAAAAACTTACGAAGAAAAGGAGTATTCTCAACTTTAGGCAAAGGAAAAACAAAACAGCAGTAAAAACTTCTGCCACAGCAGTTACCCCGCCCTCCCTGAGGCCACGCAGAAACATTCCCAGCTACACAATTGAAATTGTTGCATGGAGACGCAAAGGTAAAAACACACCGACCAACACAAACATACTACCCCACCCAACATTGAAATACCACTCCAGCCGTGCCACAGTAACCTATGAAAATAACTCCGACCCACAACAAGCAGTGGAATACATGAAGACAATTAAAACTGAATTAAACCATGAGCAACCTGGAACAAAAAAGACCAACTCCAAGACAGCTAGCACTGCAAAGCACCAGAATGCAGCAGACAAGCCACTAAACAGCTACACAGGACATCCACAACACGGAAAGACCAATCTCCATGTGAAGGATAAAAGTTTAGCTTCCCAAGTCTACCCAAAAAGACCAAATCTTAATAACTCGTATGGGTCACAAACCCGATGCATCGTATCAAATCGGTCTTTTACCAAAATTATTCCCAAGTCTCTATAGAACTCATCTCTGAAAACAAAGATCCATGTCTCTAATAAACATAGATGCAACCTACTACATTTTTGTGTGTGAAAATTGACTGTATTTCTTTGTAAATTCAATTGCAGAGAAGAAGGAATTGTGGTTGAAACTGGGACTTGGTAATCTCTCTTTCTACCTTCTCAAATGATCAATTATGTTTTCAAGAAATTATATGTCATGGATAAATTTGGTGATTGACCACTCTCCTAATTATGCTATGCCTGTAGGAATTGGAATCCCCATTCTGGTAGTACTGCTCCTATCCATCTATGTCATCTGGGCTCGATACAAACGGAAGGATGCTTCATCAATCTCTTTAGGAGGAAAAGCTTCACCCGATCCCTCTTCGAGATCGGACCTTGAATGCAGTAGTATCGTCTGCTTCAAGCTCCCCATCTTCTCTTACAGTGAACTCGTCGAAGCAACGAATAATTTCGACGACGATAAAGAACTCGGAGATGGAGGTTTCGGGACCGTATACTATGGTAAGACGATAAACAACATCTACATTAACATTTATAAGATCGGCTGCTAAATAGACACACTGTATTTTTGTTTTTGAACTAGGGAAATTACGTGATGGTCGAGAAGTGGCGATCAAGCGACTATACCAGCACAACTATAGAAGGCTAGAACAGTTCATGAACGAAGTCGAAATCTTAACCCGGTTGCGTCACAAGAATCTGGTGTCTCTCTATGGCTGCACTTCACGCCGCAGCCAGGAACTTCTCCTTGTTTATGAATTCATTCCTAATGGTACTGTTGCGGATCATCTGCACGGAGATCTTGTACAGTCCGGTTTGCTCACATGGCCGATTCGTATGAACATCGCTGTTGAAACCGCAAGTGCATTAGCTTATCTCCATGCCTCGGATATCATACATCGTGATGTTAAAACCAACAACATTCTCCTGGACGCTAAATTTTCTGTCAAAGTAGCAGATTTTGGGATTTCTCGGCTTTTCCCCAATGATGTCACACATATCTCAACTGCACCGCAGGGGACCCCTGGCTACGTCGACCCCGAATATCACCAATGTTACCAGCTCACAGGAAAGAGTGATGTCTATAGCTTTGGAGTTGTTCTCATCGAACTCATATCATCGATGCCCGCGGTTGATATCAGTAGACATAGGCATGAGATTAATTTGGCTAATTTAGCCATAAATAAGATTCAAAAGTGTGCATTTGATGAGTTGATTGATCCTAACCTCGGGTATAACTCGGATGCCGAAGTTACAAGGATGACGACTGCGGTTGCGGAGTTGGCTTTTCGATGTTTGCAACAAGAGAAAGAAATGCGCCCTTCAATGGAAGAGGTTTTGGAGGTACTGCAGACAATACAAAGTGATGGTCACAGGTTGAGTTGCGTGCAAGAGGAAGAACATATTGATAATGAGATCCCGGGGAGCATACCGCCACTTCCTTCGCCACCAAACGGCGATAAAATCGCATTGTTGAAGAATATCCGACTGCCACCGTCACCGGTTTCGGTGACAGATAAATGGATTAGCAGGGATACTACACCTAATGCTACTGGATAGGTTTTTCTTTACCATTGCCAACAGCAAATAGAGGGTAAAAAATTTCATTGTTCTCCTCATTTGCTCATTTTCTTGAGGGAATGTACATAGTAAATGGAGCAATCATTATAATCATAATACATTACATAATGTTCATGTTCTGTAAAGCTAATATTTCTTCATTAGCAAAAAAAAAATTGCTGAATAATGCTAATATTTCTACAAGATTGTGCCATAAACAAAAAATTGCTGGGAATTCTTCTGCCATAGAACACTGAGCCATTAGGCTCGGTGTAAAAGGGTCGGATCAGCTCGAAAGCCCATTCGATTTTTTTTGTGAGCCACTAGTGTAATTATAAGGAGTTTCTGAATAAGTTAAATAAATTTTAAGTTTTAATTACAAAAAAGTATCTAAATTATATTTATTGTCTTGTTTAGGTGTCTAACGTTCTTTTGTTAAAATAGGGTGGGTAACACTTTCGATATTACCATTTTAAGTACTTGATCCGTTAATAGCAAACTCTTGTGGGTTTGTGCATATGTCCCATTCCAACCCTCGTCGGCAGGTTAAGATTTAACAAAGAAAAAATTGAACATAAAATTCTTAAAACAAATTTTACTAACAAATATCAAGTCTTGAAGACTTTAGATCGATTCTCAAACAAATATCAATAAAATAATTGGCAAATTTTATTTTAAAGATCAAGTCTTCACAACCCTTAAAGTAGACAACATCCATCCAATATCAAATCTAAACTATCCCTAAAATTGAAGCTCCATTAAAGAAGAGAAACAAATTATTCTTTTTATAATTAAAAAAAATCATCTAGAGATTATACCTCAACTTCATAAAATCATTAATATCTTAAGAAAATCATATATAATGTCAACAATCTCTAGAGAAAGTGATTAAAAGTACAATCGGTCCCAAACAATGAATAACCCTATATAACACTTCAAATGATGTGAAATTTTTAGAAGGTACAATCGTATTCTAACCCTTTTCGATCTATTTATTTTAGTATTCGTTGATCCATTCCTGATCTTAAATCAAACCATTTGTGGGGAGTGAGAAGAAAATACCCACGGGAGAGAAAAATTAAATCATTGGATCCACATAATAAATCAAATGGTTGGAGAAATGGGGTTAGGTTTAATAAAGGCGAAGGGTTTTTTGTTTTTTTATAAGAAACTTTATTTGGAAACTAATGGAGATCCAATTTAAGACCTAAATCTATGTGCATAGTTGACAACTGTCGTTTCGATGTCAAAATAATTTCATTCTTCTCGGATAATAAATAAAGGAAAATTCGTAGCGTAGAGAAGTAGGGTCGAATCCACAGGGACTTGGAAAATTCTTAATTTATGTTTGATTGGTCTATGTCAGGCGTGAAAGATAGTAAAATGGGGGGTTTGGTAGAATGAGATTTAAGTAGAAATAAAAACGATTAAATAAATAAAAGCGATTAAAATAAAAAAAATAAGAGAATAAAGGTTGTGAATAAATACGGAAAAAATATCCTCAAGCCTTGCTTTGACTCAATTTCCTTTAGATCATCGAATAAGATTTTCTCTTCGGGATTCATGTCGGTTACTTTGTCTACGAGGGCTATCCCAGTGACTCTATCTTGTATACCGAATACCCAAGGCAATCTTTGATTCCGGCTTCGGGAATTGATTCTATCAACATCTATTGTCGTAGACCAATTATCGTTTAAGTTTGTGGCGACCAACTCGGATTGTTGCTTCTATAACCGTCAATTCCGATCTCAAATCTCTCTTGGCGAAGCTATCTCGCCAAATGAGTTCCCAGGAAGTCAAATTGCTTTCTATAAGGCGAATCTTCCTCCCACACATTTAATCGCAACAACCTCTTGACCAAAGTCAATCTTTGATTTTGAAAACTGTTTTGATTTTGAAAAAGAATAAGCACAGAGATTGAGAGAGATTTTTGAAGATATTAGGGACCTGTTTCAATTCTCCCGTTGGAATTGAGTCATCGCGACAGCTCTCGGCTTATGAAAAGTTTAGCTAAGCATGACAAAAGTCATACTTAGCATATTAAAAACAAGTTTGAAAATAAAGAAAAATAAAAGAACTTAAAAAGGAAAAAGAGAACTTTTATAAAAACTAGAGAAAAAAGAAGAATGTATTCCGAATGATGAGTTTAGGCTTACCCCAAGTGGGTATTTATAGCATCTCAAAGCCTAAAGGATAAGCAAAGAAAATAATAAAATAATACAAAAGATAATTGTTTTTAAATTTAAATTCAAACTGAAACTAGTCTCATAATACAACTCTATTCGTCAATCCTCCAGAAGGCGTGAGGATGAAGTCTTCTAGAAACCGCTGTTGACTGGACCTTCTAGAAACCGCTGTTAACTGGACCTTCTAGAAACTGCCACGTCAGACCGCGTCGTGCCCAGAATCGTGTCCATGTCTCCAGCCATGACCAAATAATAAAAAAATGCAGAATTCGCCCGTTTTGTCACAAATTCTGGAAAGCAAGGACCTGTACAAAAATAAGTATAACACGACCAATTCAGCAGCAATAATTCCACAAAATCGAAGAAATAACAAGCAAAGATTAACTATTCTGAACACTCATCAAATTCCCCATCACTTATCTCATGCTTGTCCTCAAGTATGATTAACCAAATCAGTCAAAAACTTCATTAAACGTTCTTTTGTCAAGTTTCACATTCAAGGAAGCAAGGTAGAGACCACAATAACTATTTAAGTCAAGAAATCAATCAATTAAAAATCACCAATTGGAGCAAGTCAAGTGCAATTGTAATATTTATTCATTCATTAATCTCAATGCTCATAACTCAACACCTTACCGGGATTCACTCAAATCACTTTATGTGTTTGGGGTAAAGAAACTCTCAATGTCAGAATTGACACGGTATTACCATAAGCCTGCAAGTAAATCAAATCTCCACTACTAATAAGAACAAAATGCATAAATCAAAGGGTCTTTTATTGGTTGTAACGGGGCTTAGGTAAAGGTGGGGAAAAGGCTAAAAATATGGCTAAAAATTCAAAGCAAGGAACTGACAAATAATAATCTCAACTCCATCAAAACATTAAGCACAACAAGATAAAAAGACGACATATCAAACAACAAATTTCTTGTCGAAATGCATTTTTTTCTTTTTCACACTTTTGTTGTTTTGTTTTCCATTTTTTTCTTTCGAACAACTTTTTTTTCGAACTGTTGTTTTTTTTCATTCAACATTTTTTTCCGATGGAGAATACAACGGTAAAATTATTCACTTGCCTTGAAAAATATAGAAAAGAGGAATAAAATAAAAAAGCCTCGGGTTTATTAACATGGTGAAAACAAAGAAGCGGGAATAGGCTCAAAAGCGGTTAACTAAGGGGGAAATGTATGTGTAGGCAATTTAGTGGGGAAACGGAATGGTTAATCCTAAGGTGCTAAAATCATCTTTAAGCATCATGTTCATGTGTAATCTCGACAGTATTAAACATGCAGGTTCTAGAATACCAATGTCAAATTCGACACACTGAATCCAACAAAATGAGAGCGAAAATGATATGCTCATAAAGGCTTAAATCTCACCAAATTATTTCATGCATTGAGCTAATCACATTTCAACCAATAAAATCACGGAATATCACAAAAACACCAACTTATCACAATTCATGCTATTCGATATCAAGAACATCTTAACCTAAACAATTATGTGTTCCCAAACAAGCATAGCATTCTAAAAAAATTTCAACAAGACAAATAAATTCAGTGAAGTTTCCGCAAATTCAACCAACACATACTTGAATCGAAACATAAGGATAAGCAAAGGGAAATTCAATCCTACATTCTACTCTACTCCCCCTCACTTAAAGCGTTTTGCCTTAAAACGAAAAAAATTAAAGTGTAAGAGAATGAACAGAGTACTCATCGGATTTAATGTCGACCAAGACCACGTCCTTGGCCGTGATGAGAGGCGCTAGGACGTAGGTAGGAGAGGATCTCTGTGATGTTCGTCTCGATGGAGTGGAGGCGGTCATGGACTTCATCCATTTGGGTTTGCATATCCGGGCGTGGTGCTGCAGGAGACGGCGCATGTGCGTTTCGACGAGTGAAGACTCGCTCGCTACGAGGAGTAAGGACACCTGGTGGAACGAAGTAAGGTGCGCTCGGGGTTCCGGCAAGTAGGCCCATTGAATCCAAACATCGCTCATCTAAAGCATTTACAGAAAAAAGCATAAGTAAATCGTGTTACATCAAAGTGAGCGATGCGAGAAGCTAAATGTATAATGTAAGGGCCAAGGATAAGTGGGCGATTAGATCGGATAACGATCTCAAAGGCCCGAGCAAACCAAAATCCTAGGTTCACATACTCGCCGATGGTCATGCACCATAAAAAGAATAGATCGACTCGGTTTAAGGAGGATGATGAGTCGTTCCGGCCGGAATAGTTGTAAGTGAGGAAGCGATGGATATAGCGCAAGGCTGGGTCGTGGATAAGATGGGCTCGCGTTGAGCGGGCATTGAATGCGTATCCGGCTAAACCCGTAAGTCCCTCATAAGCCATGTCAACATCGAAATTCTGCGGAATCTCAAGCAAATTGGTTAAATACGAATGACTCGTGACATTCATCACGAATCCCATAGCAAGATTAAATTCTGATATAGACATTGAGAAGTAAGTTCCACATAGTCGGAATGATACAACATCAGACGAACTAACATTAAGCAGGCGTTGGGGCAAAAAATTAAAAGTGACATAAAATTCAAACACAAGTTCATAAAACGTTCCACAGTTAATCATCGGATAAAATTCCCAACCAATGGCAGCAAAGTATGCGTGAACAGACTCACGTAAATGCAATGTTTCAAGAGTACGAGTCGGAATATATTTAGCTACACGGAAAGGGCGGTGTCTCACCGACTCGAAACGTACCAGTTCGTCATTGGAGAATTGCAAATACTCGTGCATCGTTTCTTCGAGAGGGACTGCATATGATCAACCCCGACGGTTGCGCTCCGAGTTGTCGTGGGCTGGCGGCGGGCTGTCAGGTGCATCCTCCGGGCGAGGTGGACGGTTCGGCAAAGCATCACGTTCGTGGTGCTGTCGTGAGCTCGATGTTTCAGGCGATGAGTCCGGTGGTGGAAAACCAGCAGTAAAATCCTCT